CAATTTTAAGCAAAAACTGATAAATATTCTATAATACAAGGTAAGTTCTACTTACCCCGTTCTCCAGGACTGCCACTGTTATTGGGTAATAAATATCAATTTGTTCTAATGCACAAATGACTCTAACGTATTTGAGGACAATCACTTTAATAACGAGATTATATAACGAACAAAAGAATAAACAATTAAGCATCTAATTATCGTACGGCGCTAAAAATGCTCGTTCACAGATCGAGATCTTAAAATCAACTAACTAATGGCGCTGCAGGCGCACCAAAACAGCATGCGCAGGAGAGCTATTGCGAAAATTCGCGACACATATATCAATGTTGAAACATCTAAATTATCAGAAGAAAATGTCCTCCCTAATATTTAAACAAAATGTCAATAATTTCTACTACTTTCCGTAAAAGCTAGGAAAAAAATTTTAAATTACACTTTTGTCATACTTTTTTCTATCTTTCTTTAATGATGTTCTTCTACTGTTGTTAGTATATTTCCTAGCATAGTGCTTTATGCAGATAGTGTGAAAAAAAGTAATAAAAGCGCCAATACTTTCTATCTAACTTAGAAAAACAGTTCACATTATAGTTAAATAGTAAAGAAACAATTATAAATGCACTAAGCCATTATTTGAATATTATTGAACATCATCAATGTATATGTATTAATAAAACCAGTTTTCAATGATATTATAAGTAGCAAAAATAAATTAATTTTTTAATTACTTAATGATAAAAAAATTTTGCTATATAAAATATTGTACAAGATATTGTTCATTAAATTATAACATTCAGATTAAAAGAAATCTGTTTTTTCTTTTCAAGAACTTACGTATGAGGTCTCTTCACTTACTTCTAATAAGCGATAATTATTGTATACTGCTTTTCAGACTCTTTTATTTAGATTGACTAAGTTTAAAAAAAACTAGATATTTAGAGGGAATACAATTAATAAAAAATTTAGAAGGAATATTTCTTATTCTTAGGTTGTTTAATAGCAAAACTTGGTCAAAGCTCTTCAGACGAATTCAGGTTCTGTATACAGCATCACGATAGCCGCATCCGTGTTTGATGACATCGCTTAGAATACCCATTGGCAGCTTGCACTCGACATCGTCATACTGGCCCATCACCTGGAGTTACGTTATGAGGTGCCATTGGATGCACGTCTCGATCACCTCTTGTTCGCATTGCAGGCACTTTGAACAGCAGCCGTTACATTTCTGATGTGTTATGACCAGTTGCTTTGTCTTATCTTCGAGGCCTCCATAACGCTACGTTTCAACAGAACAATGCAAAACCGCGTGTTGCCAGTACTGTCCAGACCTTCCTTGACACAGAACATGTTCGTCTGTTGCCCTGGCCACCACGTTCTCCTGATCTCTCACCAATTAAAAACTTTTGATCAATGGTTGCCGAACGACAGGCGCATCATCACTCTTCTGTCACTACGGTTGATGAATTGTGGAATAATGTTGAAGCTGCATGAAAGGCTGTACCCGTCCAAACTATCCAATCTCTCTTCAACTCGATGACCAGGAGAATAGTTGCTGTTATTGTTGCCAGGGGAGGCTGCTCTAAGTACTGATTCCTCAGGATCTATGCATCCAAATATTTTGAAAATTTAATCACTTGTTCTTCCAACTAATGTAGGTGACCAACAAATATTATTCTGTTATTGGCATTCCTTCCTGGTGTAGCTCTTTTAATGGCCAGTAGTGTAGTTTTTAATATGTTACCATGGAGCGAGCGCTTTTTTTATTGTAACCGTGCAATTGATCTTGAGAATTCTTCATAACCCATTAGAAAATTCGATGAGCGGAAAATGTTTCGATGACGAAATATGCAAAAAGAAAACATTAACATTTAGGGACCAAAACAACCTGAACATTAAGGGGGACTCTCCTGACTAACCTCATATTTTGAGGAGTAATTAAATCGAAGTAAAGTTGGAAGTAAATCGAAGTTGTTTGAAAAAAAATATGCTTATATGCTTATAAATATGTTTATAAAAAAAAATATGCTTATTTTGTGCAGCACTCACTTATCAGCATATTTAAGACTTGACCTGGAACATACTGATTGAGTACATGAAAATCTCATAATTGAATCAAAAGTTATACAGAGCGTTTTTTTAAGCAGTGTACATCTAACATATAATGTCTTATAAAACTGTATTACAAAAAAAAAAACAAATTTTAACAGTTTTTGTTCAAGTAAACCTACTTTTCTTCTTGTCGCTCTCCTGAAATCACTTTTCGTTATACTACGCCAACTTTTTATCATTCGTAGTAACGTCAATGACAAGACATGTGAACTAAAAAACTGAACAGAGCAGAATAATGAGAATTAGAATCACCTTTTGCTCGCTGCAGACTTCGTTTTCCTGCAGCCTCTTCTTTTGAAATCACTGAATTGTCTGCCTTTGGTAGTATTGCTTTAATATCTGAAGGATCGCAGTTTGCAAGTAGTAATTTTGAAGGCTTCATTTCGTTGATTGATGGAGAAGGAAACATAGTATCACCGATATTTTTTTAAATTTCTAGACTCTTCCTTTTTCTTTCGCACACTCTTAGAGTGTGTGGGATAAGCATTTTTTCTTGGCTCTTAAGTCAACACAATCTCTCGCACCTTTACAAGGAATAGACGCCGAGCATTACCTAGGTATTGTATGTTAATTTATTTCACATCGAAGTAAATGAATCCTTTGAAAGCTTCTTCACCCATTGAAGACTGCCTTTTAGCTCCTTGGACTAGTCAAAGAAAAATAACAGAGGGGAGGAAGTCTAGCTCTCATTGACATAATGTAAACTAGTCCCCCAAGGTTAGGTGTGGTCCCTGTATATAAGAAAACAAAATTTAGAGCACAACAGTAGAGGTTCTATAAACTGGTTTGCACCCTCCGAGTAGCACCTAATATCAGATAATATCAGAAAATCGGCAAAATCTAACGTTATCTAGCACAACTTCTAATATTAGAAAGATACAAGAGATCGCTGTTTGCTCAGCCTTACATAATATTAGATTCTATGCAAACTAATATTATCTAACGTTCGCCATAATATTATTTTGCATTAGTTTTGATGCTATATAATATTAGATTTTGTATTTTCTGATATTATTTTGCTTTGCTTTTTATTTATTTTGGAGTAAGCAAGAGGAAGATATGGATAGTAGTAGAATAATTCGGCGATATAATTTTACTTAATTTTCTGTATTGTTGTGAGGCAATAAAACATAGAACAGTAGTTCTATGTCATTCCACGCATTATTTACTTAGTAATACAGAAATACTAAATAAAATTATATCAGTGAATTCTGTGACCTACCATTTTTTTTCTCCTTACTCCAAAGTATATCTTATGTCCAGCTGATTTTTATGACTATTTTAAACTTAATTAGGAAATAATATTTTATTGCAAACTTTTATTGATATTTTTTTCTTTTATTCATATAATGGGTTTTCTGACAAATTTTATATCATTAATAATTTTCAAGTCTTTAATTTTCAAATGTACTCTTAATTTTTTTAAAAAAACTGGGCTTATTTTATCAAAATCTCAAATTAATTTGTTAGTTCATAATAAATATATATATTTTAAATGTGTAACTTAAGCCATTTGTAATTTCACAATTATCATTCATTATTTATATTCTGAAATTATATAATAAAAACCACACTATATAAATATAAAGTTATATATTTACATTTGAACTAAGCCCCCCTTATAATTCTAAAATAAAATTGTTCAATTTTTAAGTTGTCATTTTTTGCAATAATTGACGCAATAAAGAACATAATTTAAATATATTCAAATTACTTACTTCAATAGATTTACACATTTTTTCTTCCACTGAAATTAAACGGAGAAATACTTACGCAACTTTATTCTTTTAGTATTTGAAATTTTATTTAGCAAAACACCTAAAAACAAAACTCAAACGCAAGGTAGAAATTTTTCCAGGGAATGAAACCAGGAAAGCAACTAATATCATGAAAATTGCTAATATTTTTTTTATAATGTTAAAACAACTTTTATGGGCACATCAGAAATTTTCATCAATTCAATAATTATTTAAAGGAGTTATGTTCTATTAAACTAACAATCTTTGCAAAAAATTTACAGCTAAAATAATGCAGCTATTAATGTTCAGCTAAATTTTAAATATTAATATTTTCAAAGAATATACAAACCTTTCACAAAGAATATACAAACCTTTCAGATGAAAGTTTGAGCATTATTCTTTTCTACATTGATTGGGAATTTTCATTAAAATGTAAATGCTATTCAGCTAAAAGTCAAAGAGGTTTTTTACAATTATATTATTTTAAACGTGATAAAAATAAAAAAAGCAAACTTTTTGTCTCAAATCTCAAATGAAGAGTCATGTGAAAATTTTCTGAATTTAAATGTTATTCAGCTAAAAGTCGAAGAAATTTTTACGATTAGAATCATTTGACAATTATCTTAAACATGATAAAAATAAAAAAGTAAACCTTTGTCTCAAATTTCAAATGAATAATCATGTGAAAATTTTCTATATTAAAATGTTATTCAGCTTAAAGTCAAAGAAATGTTTACAATTAGAATTATTTGACAATTATATTATTCTAAACATGATAAAAATAAAAAAGCAAACTTTTTATCTAACATTTCAAATGAATAATCAGGAGAAAATTTCTGAAATTGAAATAATAAAAATATTTACAATTTTGAGATAAACTTTAAAATCAGCGTTAAAAAAAAATTGCCTCCGATATCATGCCGTCTGATTAAAATAACCAAAATTTAAATGTATTCAACTGTTTTCATGACACTTAAACACTCATAAGGATTTGTTAACGTTACATTTTATCAATACAAATATCATACAATACAAATCAAAATTTTAAAATGATGAAGATTTATTACTAAGTTGTAGAAAAAATTACACACTACAGTAGTGAAGAAAAAAAATCTAAGATAAACATAATTATTTTACAACATAATAATTTTATTGAAAAACAAAACACACTATAAAATAAACTTCATCCAATTGTAAATGCAATACATTACCTTCATTGTTTAAAATTAACATCGATAACCTTTTGATAAAACACAAATTAAAAGTACATAATTGTTATAAAATAAAATAACTTTTTTTCATGACTTTAGAAATATCTGATACAATTTGAGTTTATTCATCCAATTGTAAGTCTTTATTTACTTGAAATTATATTTCCAAGCAGTAATTAAAAGCTTTTATGTAATGTTCAGTAAATGCAATAATGTGTATACGAAAAGTCACATGAGGACTTTTCGCTATGGCAGATTTATAGTGGCCCTTGCTGAATATCCTCACTGTATACATTCACTGTAAGGATCGAACTTAGAACTACAGCTGTCCAACATAGTGCGCGATTTCATAGTGTGTGTAGTATCCAACTGTTCTTCTCAAATATTGAATTGGCCCAGAGAAGAAGTTTCTTTTGAAATCAATTTCTTCATAGTAGATTTTCTTGAAGATGACACTGATCCACACTGTATACATTCACTGTAAGGATCGAACTTAGAACTACAGCTGTCCAACATAGTGCGCGATTTCATAGTGTGTGTAGTATCCAACTGTTCTTCTCAAATATTGAATTGGCCTAGAGAAGAAGTTTCTTTTGAAGTCAATTTCTTCACAGTAGATTTTCTTGAAGATGAAGAGCTATATCTGAAATTGTAAAAGAAAATTAAATTTACAATGGAAAAAAACAAATTTAAAATTATTAAACAATGGAAAAAAAACAAATTTAAAATTATTAAACAATGAATATTTATTTTAAACTTAAATTAATTAATTTGAAAATGTTTTTAAAAAATTACAACATCTTTTACAATGAAATTCAATGAGCAAATTGCGGTATCGACACTTGCATCAAAAACTCTTGGTAGAGCCACACGAAAAGCAAAAAGTAACATAGTGGGAAGGAGATTAACAAAAGAGGTTTAGCTCATAAACACTCACGAGCAAACTATCATATGTTTAAAAAAAATTTCAAACTGCAAAACTCTTTAACCCCTTATATTAGACCTGAAAATAAATACTCACTATGTGGCAAGTCAACAAAAAAAGTGTGAAATAAACAATTGCTTACTTTCAACCATTGCTTATTTTAAAAATAGTAGATTTCCTTGAAGATGAAAAGCTATAAGGGAGAGTTGGGTAGCCCCGCCCACTTAAGGAGTATTGCTTATATTTCTGTATAATATTGAGTAATAATCAATATTTTTGTATGTTTCTATTATTTTATCATCTAATTAAATAATGCAAAAAGAATAGTTTAACTTAAAAAAAATAGAAATTTAAAAAAAACATGTATATGAGCTCTTTTCAAAATGTGTCGGGTAGCCCCGCCCAGTTACAAAAATTATGTTTTTTGACTGTTTTTTCAGGTGTAAATGAAAATGACCATTGTATTGACAATAGATAAACCTCATTTATCATTTTTATCACAAAATTATTTTATTTATTACGTATTTATATACTTTTAGTGAATTCTATCATTTAATAATAACAAATGTCATACTTTTTACTTTAATTGCATTCAAATGCTTCTGTAGACTGATTCGTTCGCAAATAAGTGAAAATAAATAAGTATGCGATTAGCTTATCATAATATTTATGATTTCTTAATATTAAATTAAATTTGGATATATCAATTACATTTTGAAAATATTTAATTTGCATTTTTAAATATATAAATTTATGTTTCATATAATATTAAAACATATATTTGTTGTTAAAAATGCATATAACATTCAAATTTGAAGCAATAAAATAATAATCTTTGCAACCGTACATTTATCGACAAAATAAAATTGGGCGGTATTATCCAACATTCATGTGAGCGGGGCTACCCGAAATCCAATTTTTTTGTAGATTTGTAATTTTACTCGAACAATTTTTCACATATAAACTTCTTTCTTTGCACAAATTAAACTTAAGACTACATACTTTAATGCTGTATGTATAGAAAAAATTATATTTTAAGTATTAAAATGAAGTTTAATCGAAACATTCAACCAATTTTTCTAATTTTCTTGACTACTGTATTCAACATATTTTCAAAACTATTGTTTACCATGTTACCAGCTGCATAAATACTTGAAACTTTGAAAATAATCCTTTTTTAATATAAGAATTATTGTCCGATGGCCCATTGACTTGAAAAAATATTCTATACATATGAAATTGACAGTGGGTGGGGGTACCCGACACTCCCCTACTGAAATTTAAAAAGAAAAGAAATTATATTTTGCAATGAAGAAAAAAAAATTTAAAACTATTAAACATTGAATATTTATTTGAAACTTTAATTATTAATGTTTTTCAGAAATTGTAATATCCTTTACAACGAAATTAAATGGTTAAATTCCGCTATCGATACCAGCGTAAAAAAATTTCGTTAGTGTCACACAAAAAATAACACAGTGGGAAGGAGATCAACTAAAAGAATTTAGCTCATAAGCACTTCCAAACAAACTATCATATATTTTTTTTAAAAAAATAAAAAATCAAGTTGCAAAACCCTTCAACTTCTTTTATTAGACCAGAAAATAACTACTCGCTACCCAAGTAGCACAATTCACAAAAACGATATCGTAAAAACTTAGCTTTGAACATTGTACAATATCGTAACGAAATATTGTACGATATAAAAATGGACCCCTTTTATAACGTGCATTCAATATTGCAAAACAATATTGCTCAATATTGTAAGAACGTTGGGGAACGTCGATCGACATCTCTCTGCATTTACAAACGTTGTACTATGCCGCCCGACATCGTCAACACGATATTCAAAAAGCGAACGCTGCGGAATGCAGACTATCGCCAAAATTACGTTGTTTGAGAAAATAAAAATTAGTTTTTGAAAATATTAATGCCTGCTTGTAACCGGGAAAAAGCTGATAACAAAACCGTTCTAGCTTGTTTAAAATTAAATTATTTGTTATTGCCAAAACTTATAGAATTTTAAGACGCCATGAAAAACATTACAAAACTTTAAGAGTGGCTAACTTTTGAACTTTGAAACATACAATGCTGTAAAATATAAAAGTATTAGAGTTTAGAATACAAACTAAGCAAAATAAAACAGGAAGGACCAGGGTAATTAATTTAAGGAATAACTGATCCATTTTAGTGCAAGATAATGAAAAAGTGAAGTCTTATTACAAATTTTAAAATTCTATGTCTAAAAAATTACCCAAGATGGCGTTTGTAACAGCTGAGAGGCTTTCAAAACACTGTTTCCCTCTTCATTGTAATTTACAATACGTCATCGCCAATTCCAAAATGGTGCTGAAGTAAAAGAGCATAGATAGCCTTTACAGATGGTTTCAAAATAACATATCTGAAAGAAGAAATATATATA